ATCCCCTTAATGCTGAAATTCATTGACGTTGGTGGCAATCGACGGATAAGAATGGTTGAAATGGACGAGACGGTTTTAGAGATCATTGAGGAGGATCTCACAATTAGTACACGTGCGGTAGGCTGCACATTAAATGTCCGTCACGTAACACTTCACAAGCTATTGAAAAGTGAATTGTTATACCCGTTTCATTGTACAAAGGTACAGGAATTATATGTCAGAGATCACCGTGCCAGAGAAAATTACTGTCGGTGGCTTCTTGATAATAATAAAGCTCTAAAAATTTTATGGCAAATATTATGTGGACATACGAATCTTTATTTATGGGCACATGTGTATATTTAACTATCATAACAAATATTATTATGATGTTACTAACCCACGCGTGATCCGCATGCGTAGCTTTCCACATAGGTGGAAGCTAAACTTCTAGGCAGACTTTTTAGACGGTAGAGCTATCGGTCTTACTCTTCTAGCATCGACCAGATGCACATGCCAGATATTTCGACGGTATAAATATTAAAAATCTCTCGATCAGTTTACAATACATATGTATCACTATGTACGAAAGTTGTTTGTTTTACGGGAAGAAATTACGCGGATTTTTTAATACAATGTCTACCAGATTTTCTTCTGGAAGAAATTTCTGTCGCAAAGAACAGTTATATTTTTCCTGCAAGACATGGTACTAACGCATGTATGTCGAGGCGTTAAAATTTGTTGATGGACCAATGCTTCGATGCGCGCGAAAAAATTTAATTCTATCAATATATGTATTATATCGCCAGTGAATAATAAACCAGGATGAAGAATTGATTCGACCTAACTGGCCACTTTATTAAAATTAGGAACACGACGTTTCGGCCATGGATTTTGGCCCTTTTCTAGTGTATAAAGTAATCTAAAATCGTGAATACAATTAAGTTACAGTGTAGTTACCAATCATAAAGGACCATCGACAGATTAACAAAGTGAAAGTTCATACCTAAGTCATTACTGTTACTCTTCGTCATAATAATGGTCCAAGCAACGAGACACATGGAACGCACTTACGAGGTCTGTTCAAAAAGTATCGCGAATTTTGAATTTCTGCGGGCTACGTATGTTCGATTTTCGATTTTTTTGTGGCGTTATGTTGGTACTCATGTCCCTCACTCATGCTGACAAGTTCGGCCATTTTGAATGTTCAGTTAATTTTTGACAGCTATTTTGCTTGGACGTGTTTTGGCTCGTCTTCGATTTTTGCCTATTCCAAGAAATGGATCAAAGAATATGTATCAAATTTTATGTGAAAAACAAAATTAAGTGCGCGGACGCATTCCGAATGTTGACTGTGGTATATGGTGAAGCTACCTTGAACCAAAGCAACGTTTATCGGTGATACAAAATGTTCTCAGAGGGCCGAGAAGATATGAACGACGAAGAGCGTGCCGGACGCCCGAGCACGTCAATAACAGACGAAAACATTGATGAAGTTGTTACGTCCGATTTTTATGGGGACGCGTGTCTCATAGGGAGACAAGGAAAATGAGAGGATAGATTGGTCGCTCTAAATAAAGATAGATTTCGTAGAGAGAACTTAAGTATATTTGAAAGCACTGGTAGTTATATACAGAGGAGAGAGAGAGAAAGGCATCGACAAAACAGAACAAAAAAGTAATAAGAGGAGGGATATGGCGAGGCTACACCAGCAAGGGCATGTCCTGGGTGGGCCGCAGCGGTTTCCTAGGGCGCCTGACTAGTCGGACCTTCTGCGGGAGGGCCTCTATGCGAACTACGCAGGGTTTGGTCCGCTTCGTTGTGGGCTGAGCCTTGGGGGCCTGCTGTCCCGGTGGGGGCCTCTTCTCCAGTCTAAGCGCCGGGGTTGAAAGTACCGCTGCCAGTGCTGCTTTAGCCGCCCTTGGCGCTGGGGTGACTGGCGGCCGCGGCGCCCATGCCCTGACTGGGCAAGGATCAGGTGCGCGAGGACGGGGAGGGAGGGGTGGTTGCTACGCTGAGGTGCGGGCTCCTGCAGAGGTTTGGGGTACACTGGCCCTAATCACCGCCTGTGGATAAGGGGGAGGAGGCGGGAGCGAGGGGTTGGGAGGCTCTAGAGGCCTGTCAAAGACCCTGGGGTCGAAGACCCCAGAAGTAGCGTACGCTCTCGCTAGTCGGCGGAGCTGGACTTTGCGTCCAGCTCGGCGCGATCTGCCCATTTCTGGGAGTGCCTGCGGGAAGCATCTCGAGTTAGCTGAGTTACAAAGCGGGGGAAGCACTGCATGCTGTTAGTCATGATTGTGGCTAACGCTAACTTATTATTAATTAATATTAATCCCTTAAATAGGCACCCAGAGAAAGGTAATTGTTTCAAAATCGCGGGGGATGAAGTGAAATTTAAACTTCAGACGCTGTCTTTTCGTGGAATGCTCAGATGGATTTTTCGATTATAATAATCGATTCATTGCCGTCATCACTGCACTCTTGGCAACTTCTGATTTATATAATTGTAGTAGGGAGACCCGAGAGTGAGTAATTTGACCGCGGTGAATCTTAATCTGAAAATGGAACGCGTAAGTGGCAAATCAAAATGATTACGTTAATTACTCATTGCGCCAAACGAAATAACTAAAGTTCATAACAATTAGAACGTAAGATCGGTAAATTTCGCTGTGTGCCCATCTTAGTGTGAGATTCCGTCTGTTCGAGGGGACTCTGTGAAATTGCCCCTGGAACGACTGGGAACTGAGGTTGGTTACGACGGAGAAGGTCCCCCTTTCTTTTGTGGGGTTCAGACCAGATGAATGGTGTCGACGACGTGGAGGATGTCTGTGAGGACTGGCGGCTCAATGCCAGTTCGAGGTAGGGTGATGATTTCCCGCCGGAGGAACGCCGTTGGCGGCGCGCAACCAGAGGTGGAGAACCGGAGGAACGCCGAGGGCGGCGCGCAACCAGAGGTGGATAACCGGAGGAACGCCGAGGGCGGCGCGCAACCAGAGGCTGGTAAACCGGAGGAACGCCGATGGCGGCGCGCAACCGGACGGAGAACCAGAGGAACGCCGAGGGCGGCGCGCAACCGGAGGCGGAGGATCGGAGGAACGCCGATGAAGGCGCGCAACCGTAGATGGGAAATCGGAGGAACGCCAGTATAAAGGCGCGCAACCGCAGGTCGGAATAAAAAAATGAAAAAGAGAAAGCTAGACAGAGACAGGAATATCGGTAGAGGTAAAGAGGGAGAGAGAGAGAGAGATATAGATGAGCGTCGTCGTCGAGGAGGTGGTGTCCTGGTGGTCGTTGTCGTGGGCCACAGAGTTTGCACACGCGGTAGAATCTCGCACTAACGGGATGCCGACTTAGCCTATGGTGACCGATGGTTAAACACCTTAACTTACGTCGAGGATCGCGATGTGGCGTATAATAATACACTCCGGGAGTCAGAGGTTGGCTCTCTGTTGGGCAGAGGTTCGTTCCTTGCAAAGCTCGGAGAACTGAATGCGAATTTCGGGCTCCGAGGCCCGGCTTTTATACTTTCAGCTTATAGGGCAAGTGCGGAAGTGGTGATGAGCGGGGGCCCTTCGATCATTTTCCGATTTTATTAATTTGTACCTTAATTACTACTCCGACTGACTTGAGTCTTGGTTAAGTTAAAAAGGGGCCTCCGCTCGTCATTTTCCCGTTTACTTCTTATTAATTGCATTTTGCATTCCCGAGTATTTAACGCGCATTCCAATCTCGTGTTTTTGTACATAGAGTTCCGCTATGCCGCTTCGAAGTGCGTACACACGGAACATTCTTGAATATCGTCGCTACGATATTAAAAGTACTAATTTCCCGTGGTTTAAATGCGCGGTTTGCCGCGGCGGCGTGGAGTGGAGGCGCGTAGCGCCCCCGTACGTGGCTGAGATCAACGGCTCGGGTGGAGGTAGCTCCGTTCTCGAGAGCCGTTGATGTCAGCTTTTAAACGGTTTATTCCTTAATAACTAACGTAAACTTGCCGGATTTCTTTTATTAGAACGAAAGCGGAGGCGCCAAAGGTCGGCCTGTTACAGTGGTTGCCTCGGCTGTCGTGTAATTAATCCAGAAACGATAATAGTAGAGTTCGAGAAAATAAGAATAGAGAACGTAACAGATCACGTGCTGCGCGCGTGCTATGTGCCGCGTCGCGCTGGTGCTATCTATCGGGTGGGCGATCCTTAACGCTTCCCGAATAGTGACGTTTGACGAAAAATAATTCGTCGGACGTAACAAAGTGAAGAAAATAGTATTGGCCAATCGTCGAATCACCGTTAGAGAAGTTGTTGAGGACCTTTCAGGAGGATCCGTGGGGGCGCCCATACAAAATGGTTCTCAACAAGTTGAGACCATGGGCGCCCCCGCTGACGGAGCGGCTGGACGTGGGATTCGTCCGGAGGGTGGTGCAAGCCCTCTTCCCCGACATTAACGGGGAGGATGAGGGGCCACCCTTCGAACCGGGGGAAGACTCCCCCGACTGGGACGACTCCCTGGACGTCCAGCCGGAGGAGCTCCGGATGGCCGTCAAGAAGGGCCTAAAGGGCAATACAGCCCCGGGTCCTGACGGCCTCCACAAACGTGTCTACGCCCTGGCCATGGGCATCCTCGCGGAGGAGTACGCACGAGCATACAGCACGTGCCTGCGAAGGAGTGTCTTCCCCCCGCGGTGGAGGAGTGCCACGCTGGTGCTCCTCCCGAAGGAGGGGAAAGACGCCTCTCTCCCGTCGGCGTATAGGCCAATATGCCTTCTGGACGAGGTCGGTAAGTTGTTCGAGCGAGTGCTCGTGAACCGCCTCGTCCAGCACCTGTCCCAGGTGGGCCCCGACATTAGCCGGGCCCAATACGGGTTCAGGGAGGGCTTGTCCACCATAGACACCCGGGAAAAAATTTTCACATATGATCA